GTGTGCCTTGGCAGTCGAAGTCTGAAGGAAGGGGCGGATTCTTTTTGGCTGTGTACTTTCAAATTTTAGTGCACTCGAGCTGGTTACTGAAACTTACCTACCCCACCTTTAAATAAACTAAACGCGTTCATTTTAAGTTGTGAGTTTAGTGTTTTTGACCCTAAGAAACACTGATGCATTAATCAATAACAACAATCCACAGCTCCTCTCTCTGCTCCAGAGGATTAAAAAATATATATATCCCAATGCCTTTGCATTTTGAATTTCCATGACTTTTCCAGGTTTTCAATGACCGTGCGTACCCTGTTTATCACACCTTTAATAGAAAATACTGGTTACATTCTGTTCTCTGGCATTTGACAGACAGAAGGGTGTGTGAGTGACCATTGTCAGGCAAATGATCATACAGATGTCACCGGTTATACTTAAATGTCAAAACTTAAGCCCCGTCTGGCAACCATTTCAACAGCCTGTAATGTAAATTACCTATCTGAGACCTTCCCCTTTTTACTGTATAAAGTGCTGGTTCTTCTGTGGTAACTTGGTCAGATCTTGTAGTAAAATCTGCTGCAAACACCTGCCCTTCCAGCTGGAAATAAGATTGATTCTGTTATATGCTTTAAAAAGGTGTCCTATAATGCAAAATGCACTTTTTGATGTCTTTAATACATAAATATGTTTCCCCGGTGTTTCGGGGAACACACATAGTGTCAGAAAACAAAACCCTCTCTCTTTTCCTCCGTACCCAAATCTGTAAAAACAGGGGTACAACGGAGCTGATCCAGATTTGCCGCCGACATGACGTAATATCGGAAATGTAGGCTGGCTTCACACCCACATCAGAAACGTCGCTGTATCAGAAATAATGTCTTTTTTTACATTAGCAAGCATCGCTAACACTCAGAGCTAACCTGTACTGGAGAGAGCACATGTGTAAAAGAGAAGCAACCAAAGAAAGGAACTCATCTTGAAGTAAACATGGAAGAGAAAAAGCATTTGAGCTCCATACTGTTTCAGAAATAATCCTTGATGTGGTTTTGAACATAATATGACGTTTCATCACGGCAGCATTTAGCTGAGAATCTCTCGGTAGAATTCTGAGCAGGTGTTAGCTCCCCTTCCTCTTTTTTTTTTAAGCTAAGGAACCAAAATCAGCACTTCTCTAAAAGGGCTGAAATAGAGGGATATGAAGCATGGCTCGAATGGGTGATCTGTTGGGTATTTTGAGCAAAACACGTCATAGACATGTTTTTTATATATCTGAGATCCATAATATATGCCTAAAAATAGCATGATAGGAAACCTTTAAACTTTTTATCAAATAATACAATTTGGTTTGAAGCTTGTAGATTTGTTCATTTCTTACCAGAAGGTGATTTATTGTGGAATGTCCACCAGTGTTATGCCTACACATCTAAATCGGCATATTAGCCAATAGTTGCTCACCTCTCAAACAGTGCCCTGGTGTCACTCAGCTGTTTCTCCAGCTCATCGTTTCCTTCCTGCAGCCTCTGGATCTCCTCCTGCCCGCTCTCCTGCCTCCTAAGCTCCTGTTCCTCCAAGAGAGTGAGCTCCCCCAGCACCTCCTCCATCTCGTCCTTCAGCTGCCTCAGCCGCTCCTCAGACTCCCCCCTCTCCTGCTCCACTAGCACAGTCAGGGAGTCCACAAGGTCCTGTAGAAAAGAGTTAAGGGTCAGTTGCACTTAGGCGATCATGTGAATCAAAATAAGAATCTTCCAAGAACGCTGTGTTACCTTTTCTTTCGTCAGTTCCTCAATAAGTGCAGCATGTTCTCGTTGGAGTGCAGTCTGTCTGTTTTGATCCTCTTTTCTAGCTTCCTTTAGCACGATGAGCTCTGCTTTCAATTCCTCGACTCTCCTCATTCCCTCCTCCTGAGTCTTGCCTAAAAAATTATAACATCTTATCATGTCACCTCTCAATTTATTTGAATTACCAAAGTAATAGGATCGTGCTGAACATACTTCTGTCTCCCTCAGAGAACAGACACCTCTGCTCCAGGTGAGCCACTCTCTCGTCCAGCTCCTTCTCGGTCCTCCTGAGCACGCCTCTCAGTCTGGCGAGCTCCGCCTCCTGCTGGAAAACTGTTGCGTGAGACTCCTGGACTTCTTGGTTGGCAGAATGCATCTGCTCCTCCATGTCACTCACTGAGCTTTGGGAAGACTTCAGCTCCAGCTCTTGGTTCTTTAACCTCGTCTCCACTTCCAACAAGGCTTCCTTTGATGCCTGCAGATCTTGCTTGAATTTATTTGCCTCCTCCTCTTTTTGTCTGAGCACAATTTGGGTGGTTTCTAGCTCAATGGTGCGCTGCTCTAGGTCATCCTCCAGATGCCTGCGGGAGAAGTGGCGAGTGAGTGTCATGACATGCAGTTAATATCAGACTGTATAAACAATTGAAGCATCTGCTTACTTTACTTTCTCCATCTGAGACTGAGAGTTCTCCAATGGCTTCTCTCTGAGCTTCAAGAGAAGATCCTGCAAACACACAAACATGACTATCACAAAGAGGCCTAAAAGATCCCTACTTTTGTAAGATTTGTTCTTGAAAGACAATTGATACCTGGATCTGGTCATTGGCCAGATCCAGGTATCCCTCCAAAACTCTGATCTCCTCCCTTAGCTCCCGAATCACACCTGGAAAATAACAGAGAAGAGTAGGATTAGGAAGCAAACCTACAAACACATGCAGAAATAGGAAGTTGCCTGTACCCTGTGTTGTACAACAAGGGCATCGTTACATTAGATATACTTTATTCACCCTAAGTTGGGATTTGTTTTTTCACAGCAGTATGTGAACAGTCTATACAAGAATTACAATTTTAAAAAATAAATAAATAAATAAACAGTAAATATACAGTAGAAATAAATCAAGAGTATCTAAAGAAAACACATTTTAAAATATATAGAATGAGTTAGAATACTCTTCATACTATAATAGACCAATATACTTATCAGTAGTACTCAAAACACAGGATAGTAAATACAATATCAAAGTGTGCAAAGTAGGTGCATGTACTTTTAATAAAAATGTTAAAGGTCCCATGTCATGGCCATTTCTACTGATCATATTTCCATTGTTGAGGTCTACTAGAATAGATTTACATTGTGCAATGTTCCAAACTCACATTGGTTTCTCATACAGCATCTCTGTATAGTATGTGTATTCACTCTCTGTCCTAAACGCCTTGTTGGATCTCCTGCCAACCCCCCCCCTCCCTGTGAGCCCATTGGTCAGCTCGCCCACTCTGTTCTGATGAGTCCACCACCGTTACAGCTGAACATCAGTGTTTATGTGTTACAATGGCGTTAGCAACCAGAAAATGACACCAGTAACGACAAACAGATGAGAATGCTGCGTGGGGTCTGGGTGCCGTGTTGGCGGGACGTTGCGCTGCTCGCTGCTCCGCCCTTTGAGGCTTGAGGAGCGGACAGTGTGAGGTGGGTTCATTTCCTGCTCGCTGCGTGGGGTCTGCGAGACACCCAGACATCGCGAATGGACGCGGGAAGGTGCTGAGGGGGCCGCAGCACCCCCATCTGCAAGGTTCCACTAGCACCCTAGTCAAGATTATGCTAAAATATACTTTCCCTAACTATATTTATGTTCCCAACCTTCAATTTAGAAAATTCCCAGTTTATTCCCATAAATTCCAATGGAAAGTTTCCATCTTTGAAAATTCCCGGAATTTTGCAAACCTAAATTTGAATGTGCTCGATGCAAGCTGAAAAACATTCTGGTAGTTCTGGGTAAGAAACTACATGTGTTTCAAGTAAAACAGCCATACAGAACTCACCGTGTAATCTAGCGTTCTCATTCTCGAGCTCTTCGTTCTGACGTTTGGTCACGTGATGCAGGTCCTCTGTGAGGAAGAAAACCCCTGTTTACTGTTGTTCCTCTCCATATGTAACCATGTTTGTTTCTTTACTAACACTTTGTTGCTTTTACATCTTACCCAAGTCCTTATTCCTGTCCTTCAGAGATTTGACAGTCGCCCTGGCAGCTTTCAGGTCAGTTTCCAGCGCCTTTACTTGGCCTTCAGTGTTAATCTGCAGAACCTTTAACTCCTGGACCCACACAGACACTTTACGTTAGAATTGTATATGTGAATAGCTGTCAGTTGTGATTAAACCAATTGAGGATTTTTGTAATACTCAATATTTAAAGAATGTGTAAGTGATACCTTGTTTTTAGTATCCAAACTGTTTCTGGCCTCCGTCAACTCTGTTGTGAGCAATATAATTCTCTTCTTTGTAGTGTCAGCAGAAACCTAAAAAAGCAGTCACACTTGTCATGCAAGACAGCAAGGAACTCAAACATGCTTTTAGCACTGAAGACGCTCCCATCAAGGCTTAATCAAGACAGGATTTCTAATTATTACACTTCATATAAACATCAGAACTAATCACACCTTGTTTTTAAGGAACTCATTGATTTTCTTGAGCTCAAGCAGCTGTCTGTCAAGGGTGGTAACGTTGGAAGAAAGGCCCGTCTTTTCCCTGACTGCAGCCAGCAGCTTGGCCTCCACCTTCTTCAGGTCTTCTTCCAGAGCCAGCATGCGACGGTCCTGCTCCCCTCGCTGCTGAACCAGGGACCGAATCTGGATGGAAACAAAGCTAGGGTTATGATTTCAACATTTGTAGTAGTAGGAACAATGGTAAAGAAAACATGTATGTATCACCAGTTGCTCAGTAATGCTTTAATGACATGGAACAGGAATTATACAATCTAAAGTAGTAAATCTATAGCACAAATGTTGATTTGATGAAGTGTACCTCTTTTTCCAGGAGTTTCTGCTGCTTCCTTTCCACGGTCATGCAATTCTTCTCTTTCTTCACACCTGAACCTTCCATCTAGGTGTTCACAAAAATGGGAGCGGGTTAGTTTTATGAAAATATGTAAATCAGGAGCTATCTAAGTGGCATATTAACAAGCTTAAATAAAATAGAACTTACAAGACCATCAACTGACATGGTCCTACGGACAGGAGACATAAAGTCAATCCTGGTCGTTGGTGTTGGTGGAGGAAGAGCCGCTGGAGACACAGGACGGTGAAAATAGCAGGGGACACTAAACGTTAGGTTTTAGATCACAACGTTATTGTTGGTAATGTTTTGTTTTAGTGTTGTTCTCATCAAATGTACCCACCTCCCTTAACATGTCTGAACCGATCAGCTCTGTCGAAGGAAGCAACTCCCTTAAGGTCCCCGGGTTTGATCTCATATGACCCGGGTGCAGGGGCACATCCTTCGGACAGAATCACAACGTTAGCCGCCCCTTCTTAGTTAGCTTCACTAAGCGTTACTTAATTTAAACATGCACTTCATGCATTATGACTTGTCAGTAAACACGACAGAAAACCGTACTGACAAAGTGTAACCGGTTAACGTTTGCTAAGCAATAAACACCGTTAACGTTAAATTGCTTAAGCATGTCAGCTAACATAAGCTACTTACCGTTGAATAACTTAAAGTGTATAATTTGCCAACATGCTTCTGGCTACTAGCTTGTAAACGTCACTTACCTATGTTCTCGTTGAACCTTTTCAAAGGAGCTCTTGGAAAAGACATTTTAAATCTACTTTCAGTAGAGATTTTTCTATTTCCAAAGGTAAAAAACAAGGCTGCAGTGCAGCTCCGAGTAACACACAATAACAGAAAGTTGACCGCTGAAATTTAAAAAGAACGTCATGCGTACGTTACGTCCGTGTGGCCAATAGGGAGCCTCGCCTGGACTACACAGTCCCGCCCATCGTTGTTGCGCACACATTTTCGCCCAAACCCATATTCTTAAATAACCGATTTTAGAGTATTTTGTGGAATTATTATAAATTCTGTATATTGTTTACGCTATTCATTGATCAAAGATGACCGCTTATTCAAAGCTGGGATGCGGTCGGATAGTTTAAAAATCAGCTCCTAAATTCTAACCCTATCTCCTATTCCTTGACCTCTGAGTGAAACGTCACGGGGATAGTGGATAGGAACATTCAAAAGGATTTAGGAGAAGAGACTGCGGTACTTTAGAGAATCTGAATGCACTTTCACTATCCGACGTGTTTATGATGAGCCAGCGGACGTCATTGTGTGCGTCTGCTGGTGTGGTGAAACTATGAAAACTACAGTGTTCTATACAACGGACTACATGGATGTTTATTAAGAACGAGGGACTACTGTAAACTCATCTAGAGACTCTGCACCGTGCTCTGATGTATGGGCTCAGAACAGTCTCATAATACACACATGCACACAGAAGGATTCACACTTGTATTTCATGATCCGCAAAAGGATTCACACTTGTATTTCCGGATCCACACTTGTGTTTTTCAATGCACACACAAATGTGTTCCGTTTCAAATACATGTAAATAAAATCCTAATACAGAAACATTTTTACATAGGTATTTTTGATNTATGGGCTCAGAACAGTCTCATAATACACACATGCACACAGAAGGATTCACACTTGTATTTCATGATCCGCAAAAGGATTCACACTTGTATTTCCGGATCCACACTTGTGTTTTTCAATGCACACACAAATGTGTTCCGTTTCAAATACATGTAAATAAAATCCTAATACAGAAAAAATGTGTATTTTTGATCCACACATATTTGTTTTCCGTTTAAAACCTCTGAACCTGCAAACACAAACCGCTTTCTGTGCATGGATCGGTGTGCATTCGTGTGTGGGTTTTTGAGACCCCCTGACGGTCAGCCGATTCGTACTTGTAATTTTTTCTATCTATAGCCAATCAGATGTCTCCTCAATTATAAGCCAATCACATGAGCGTGCCCCCACGAGGTTAGATTTCTTGCGTTCATGACGTAGCGCTTCATGTACGCATTTTGCGCAGTCCGGAGCTGACAGGTCCATGGAGCCTGCCTGCAGGCGCTAATCTCAGGACACCTCCACTCATCAGCACATTCGCCTACTTTCCGAACAATAATATATAATTGGGCCGGGAACCGTTAACGCTTACATCAAGACTTAATATACACCAAAAATAAGCCGCGTGACAAAAAATTAACGCATTTAATCCGCACTTATTTTTGGCACCGCGAACGTTTCCACTGGATGAGTTTCAGGGGTACCTGATTATGACTGGAGCACCAACGTAACGTTTCAGTCTTACTTCAGACAACAACAACAACATGGAACTAGTCAAACGTGAACGCAAGAAGCGAGAGACCGCTTTGGTGGCCCCGTGGATGGACATTTTGTTTAAAAACGGACCGGAGGGAAGAG